TGCGTGTGTATGTTTTTGTTTTTTGGTTGGTTTTGGTGCTTTGTGACTGTTTCTGGTGCTTTTTGAGTCTTCAGTGCTTTGTGGCTGTTTTCCCTTTTGCTTTCTGCTTGATTTTGGTCCTTTGTGACCTTTTGCTGCCCTGTGACTCTTGTTGGTGCTTTGTGCCTATTTTTTGCCACTTTATCACCGTTCTTTGGTGCTTTGTAGCCACATTTTCTCACTTTGTGGCTGGTTTTTGTCACTTTGTGACTGCTTTTGGTGCTCTATGACTTTTTTTTTTCCTATTTCCTGGCTGCTTTCTGACACTTTGTGACTGGGTTTTGATGCTTTGTGGCTGTTTCTTCGTGGGTTTCACCGGTTCTTTTTTTGGGTTTCTTTGGTGGCTCATAGCTGGTTTTGGGGGGCTTGACTGTGGGTTTTTTTGGCTCTCTGGAGCTGATTTTTGGGACTTTTTTGGCCGAGTTTTTCCTGCTTTCTGGATTTAGTGTGTGTGTGTGTTTTCTGACTGTTTTTTTTGGTGGGTTTTACTGGGGTTTTTTAGGGGGTTTTTTTGGTGGCTGTGTGGATGGTTTTTTTGGGATTTGACTGGGGAGGTTGGGACTTTTTGGCTTGGGTTTGATGCTTTTTTGGGAGGATTTTTTTTGTGTGTGTGTTTTGTTTTGGGTTTTTGTTTGGTTGGTTTTGTGGTTTGTTTTTTTGTTTGTTTGTTTGTTTTGTTTTTTCCTTCCTGGCTGTTTTTTGATTTTTTCTGACTGGTTTTGTCACTTCGTGACTAATTTTGCTGCCTTTTTTTTTCGCCGTTTCCTGGACGCTTTCTGACACTTTGTGACTGGGTTTTAGTGCTTTGTGGCTGTTTCTTCTGTAGTTTCTGGATGGATTTTGGTGCTCCTTGGCTGTTTTTTGGTGCTTTTGACTGGGGTCTTTTTGGTGGCTTGTGGCTGCTTGGGCGGGGAATTTAACTGTGTGATTTTTTGGAACTTTGTGGCTGGTTCTCGGTGGGTTTTTTTGACTGGTGGTTGGGGGGGGGTGTTGTTTGGTTTTGAGTTTGTTTGTTTGTTTGTTTTCCTTTCTGGCTGCTTTTTGACACTGTGACTGTTTTACAGGGGTTTGCGGCTGGTTCTGGTAGTTTATTTTTTGCTTCCAGGCTTTTTTTGGCACTTCGTGTCTGAGTTTTGGTACTTTGCGACTGGTGTTTTTTTTTTTTCCTTGTGCTCTCTAATTGTTTCTGTTGTGCGTTCCGGCCGGATTTTGGCGCTTCGCGGCTGCTTTCGGGTACTTTGCGGACAGATTTCGGCCCTCAGTGACTGTTTTTTTAGTGCCTCGCAGCCGGATTTTCGGTCCCTACTTCTCTTTTGGTGCCTCGCAAATACTTTTTGGTTCCTTTTGTCACCCGAGCGCTTTCCCTGGAGTTCCCTCAGGTGCGCAAACCTCCCTCGGGGCAGGGGGTGAGCCCATCCCGGGGGGTTCCGCGAAGCCGGGGGGGGCCAGGCGAGAGGAGGCGGAGGAGGAGCAGGGGAGGGAAGGAGGGAGGTCAGTGAGGAAGGAGGGAGGGCGATATCGCCGGAGGGAGGAGCGCCCCGCAAGTCCGCGGGCAGCGCTCGGCGGACTCCGATGGGCAGCGGGCGGCCGCGCCGGGCTCGGGCAGCGGCTCCGGGAGCGGCACCGGGAGCCCGGCGGTGAGAGCGGGACCGAGAGGGCTCGGACGGGGCCTGGGGGTCGCAGCGGGGCCCCCCCCGGGCCGGGGCGATGCCCCCCCGGAGCAGCGCGGACTGAGGCGGGCGGGCCGTGCATGGCCCAGCCATGGAGGTGGTGGACGAGACGGAGGCGCTGCAGCGCTTCTTCGAAGGTAACATCGATGATTCCAGGGGCATCCCGGGGAGCGCCCCCGGGAAAGGCGGCACGCGGCGCCCGCCGTGGGGTGAGTCGGGTGGGAAGGGAGCTCAAAACTCGCCCGGGTGCTGCCCCCACGCCTCCTGCCAGCCCGGGTTGCTCCTCGGACACTTCCAGGAATGGGGCAGCCACGGCTTCCCTGGGGAATCCATCCTAGCGCCTTGCCGCCCTCGTACAGAGGAATTTTGTCCTGATATGCCGTCTAAACCCAGTCTGTGTCAGTGGGAAGCGGTTCCCCCTTGTCCTGATCCAAAGTCCTTCTCCGTCTCTCATAGAGCCCCTTTAGGCTCTCTGGAATTCTTCCCTTCCTCAGGCTGGACATTCCCAGCTCTCCCAGCCTGTCTCCATAGGGAAAACCTGCCATCAGAGCCTTGTCTGGTGCTGGAGTGGCACCAGATCCCTGCCCCTGGGCACAATCCAAGTGCAGCTGTGCATCCTCCAGTGGGTGCTGAGCTGGATATCCTGGCCTTCCATGGGCTGGGAATTGTGTTGAGCTGTATCTTAGATTCCCACCACCACTCCACAGGGACCTTGGCATATCCCTGAGCATGCCTGGAGCAGGCACAGGCTCCTGAAGTGGGACAAGAGTGTCCCCGGGATCCCAGATGTTTGTCCAGCTGTGGATCCCAGCCCAGATGGAACCTGGATCCCTTTGGACACCCCATAATTGTGGATCCCTCTCCTTCCCATCAGGGCAAACCACAGGTGGAAAAGTGCTTGGGAAGGGTATTTGGCCTTTCTTGGAGCCGGGATGAGACGTGAATGCTCATGGAAGCTGAGAAGCTGTTGGGGTGAACTGGGAATAGTGTTAGGACCCCAATTCCCCTGGTTTTGCTCCCTTGGCTCCATATTCCTTTCCCTGCTCTGGATTTGCTGGCACACTCTACTCTTCCTTGTTGCCTGGTTTGTCCCTTCCCTTCCTCCCTTGTTGTCTTTGTTTCCCTTCCTTGTTCCCCGCTGGCTCCTTTGCCAGGCAGGGGTTTTGGCTGCCACAGGCTGTGTCCCTCGGGATGAGCCCCTGGCACATGGATGTGCTGGTCGAGGGAACGTCACGACTCCTGGTGAGGCTCCAACGGGTCCTGTTTTCCAGGGATTCGCTGAGCTGGGCCCTGATCCCTGGAGAACAGGAGGCAGAGCTGGGATTCCCTCTGGAGCAGTGGGATCAGTGTCACCCGGGCTGGTTGAAGTGGGACAAGAGTGTCCCTATGGATTCTTTGGATTTATCCCAGGATGGAAAGGGAGGGCACCACAAACAGAACATGCTTTTGAGAGTGAGAGGAGTCTCCAACTCCCTCCTCCTCCCTTCCCTCTCTCCTGGAATCCATGTGATCCCTTAGTAACACAATTCCTCTTCTTCAAAGGAAAAGCCTCCCCTGTTTGTTCCAACCCTGATCCTGAATTCCCAGGAGGAACCCTGGGATTAGGGAGGATGGGAAACCACCCCTACAGGGGCTCTTATCGGGCGCTCCCAGCCTATGTTCCCTGCAACCTCCCAGGGTTTCCTTTGGATTTAGGGTCTCACTGGGGCCAAGCTCTCAAATCCTGCCCTCCCACTTCCCACTCCAGAGTCCTGCACAGCCCTGACTCAGCATCCCAACATTATTTAGGGACCAACTCTCCATCTCTTCAGCTGAAATTTCTCCTTCTCCCCCAGAGCATCCTTTCTAGGCTGGAAGATTCCTTGCTTTTCCTGGTTTCTTGTTCTTTCTGGGTGCTAGGGATGATCCTGCTCCAGCAAAGTGATTCCACGAGGTTCCTGACAACCTCAACCATCCCAGAATTCTTTGTCCCTTCTTTCTCCTTTTCTCCCTTTTCCCCCTTTCTTTCCCCTTTTCTCCCTTTCCCCCCTTTCTTTCCCCTTTTCTCCCTTTCCCCCTTTCTTTCCCCTTTTCTCCCTTTCCCCCTTTCTTTCCCCTTTTCTCCCTTTTCCCCCTTTCTTTCTCCTTTTCTCCCTTTTCCCCCTTTCTTTCCCCTCTTCTCCCTTTTCCCCCTTTCTTTCCCCTTTTCTTCCTTTCTCCCCTTTCACCCCTTTCTCCTTCCTTTTCCCCTTTTCTTCCCCCTTTCTCCCTTCCTCCCCTTTTTTCACCTTTCTCTCCCTTTCCATCTTTTCTCTCCCCTTCCCCCCCTGTACCTCCCTTTTCCCCCCTTTTCCTTCCTTTCTCTTTTTTCTTTCTCTTTTTCCTCCTTTCTTCCCCTTTTTCTCCCCCTCCCTCCTTTCTTTCCCTTTTTCTCTGTTTGTCCCATTTCCCCCCTTTCTCTTTTTTCCCTCCTTTCTTTCCCTTTCACCCTTTCTTCCTGCTTTCTTCCCTTTTCCTCTTTCCTCTCCACTTTTCCCCATTTTCCTCCTTTATTTTTCCCTCTCTTTGTCTCTTTCTCCTGCTTTCCTTCTCTCTTTCTTTTGAATTAAAACCATGCCTGTAAAAATCAAGGACCAGGGAAATATCCCAAAGGATATTTCTTACCCTCAACTTGTTTACTTCCTGGCAGAAAATCCCTTTGAAAACCCCTCTGAACCGAATATTCCATGGAGTTTGGGCAGCTCCATCCCTTTCCTGCCGTCATTCCAGAGTATCTGTTACAACACAGAGTTTAAAGGGGAGAAGGGAAGAGAAGAAAGTTTTCCCACATGGAATTGCTGTTCAGTTTTTCCCTCCTGTATGTGGTTTAGTCGTGGTACTCTGAGGAATTAGGAGGCCAAACTGATCCTCTTTTTTGGGGGGACGAAGGTCAGTGCCTTAAATCAAAGCCCGGGGTTGGATTTACCCTGGAATGTCACCATCCCGGAGAATTAACAGTTTCTGGATATGGAGAGCAATATGTTTTCATCCCATTCCTTGAAAACCTGAAAATAATTTGGGAATTCCCTTGGCTTGACTCTGTTTTTCCTGGGATCTGAGTAGTCTCAAGATATTTAGGAGTAATCCCTGAGGGCCTAGACAGCCCTCAGCATTTCCAAGAGTCAGAAAAGAATTACCTGGGCTGTTCCTGGAGACTTTCTGGGAGTGTGGAAAAGAGGCAGTGCTCGTTCCCAATCCCAGCATTTGGCTGGAATAGGGGCAGGTTCCGTCTGCAGATCTGGGATTATTTTGGGAAGCGGGTGCTCCCGAAACCTCAGGTCTAGTTGGTGCCTCCAGTTTTCTGAGCTTCGAGATGGATCTTTAATTTCCTAAAGGGAATCTTGGGGTTTGCTTGGGAAGGATCTCCTTGTTTCCCTGGGTATCCTTGTTTTCCCTGGGTACCTTTATTTCTGTGGTTGTCCTTAATTTCCTGGATATCCTTGTTTCTCTGCGTATCCTCGTTTTCCTGGGTATCCTTATTTTCCCAGAAATCCTTATTTCCCTGAATTGCCCTTGGTTTTTTGATTTCCTTTTTTCCCTGGCTATCCTGTTTTCCCCGAATATCCCTATTTCCATGGAATGTGGTTGTCCACACTCTGAGGGCAGGATCTGAGGCCTGTGAGAATGGAGAAGCAGAAAAGCTATGAAAAACATCTCAGGGTTTGCTCTGACCTTTGGGAAGGGATTAGGGAAAAGTCTCTGAGGGAAGAGATGGATTGGGAATCATTTTTTGCGGTCCTGGGATGAAGATGCTGGGAATGCACTCCTGGCTGGTCCTATTGAGTCCTGAAGCTCCACTTCTTCCATGATGAGAAGATCCTTGTTGTCCTGGTGCTCTCAGGCCCATGAAATTTTTGGGATTGTCCTGTGCAGTGCCAGGAGTTGGATTTTGATGATCCTTGAGGATCACCTTTTCCCACTCAGGAATCCTTCTAGATTCCACAGTTTGTGCGAGCGCAACTGGTCCATGTTGGGTGGCCCCTAGGACCATCCTGAGGGAGAGTTGGACAAAACCCTTGGATGCAGCAAGCATGGGATGCTAGGGGGTTTCTGGCAGCGGAGGGGAATGAGTTTTCTGTGCTTTTGGGAATGTTTACGGAGCATTTGTCTTGAGTTTCAAAGGAAAAGGAGGGAGCTGTGAGCTCCTGACCCTTGGCTGGCATCCTGCTCCCAACCTTTCCCTGCCTCCCACCCTGTGCGGCAGGGAAACGCTGACACCACAGCTCAGCTATTTGGGATCCCTCTCCCGGCTAATTTATGAGATAAGAGTCGGCCAGGAATGTATATCGGGAAAGATGTGTTGAGCAGGGCCCGAGGGGGGCTGGGAAGCAGTAATTAGGGAAAGGAGTGGAGAAAAGAGGGTGAGCACCGGGCGTTTGGTGGATTTGGGATCGAGGCAGAGCTTGGAAATGACAAGAGTTGGTGAAATTTCCATGGGGGGGTTATCCATGTGCTATGGGATAAAGCAGCTCTGCGGGTTTTCATGGAGCATTGGGAATGTTGGTTGTGGCCATGCAGGGGTTGCTGAGTTCTGTGGATGCACAGGAATCTCCAAGCTGGGAGTGACCAGGAGTGGATGGTTTTGCCCATGGGAATGTGTGGATATGTGTGTTCACGGAATCCTGGAATGCTTTGGGTTGAGAGGGACCTTAAGGATCATTCACTTCCAAGCCCCTTCCACTATCCCAGGTTGCTCCAAGCCCCATCCAATGTGGCCTTCCAGGGATGGAGCAGCCACAGCTTCTCTGGGAAATCTGTTCCCAGGCCTTGCTGCTCTCACAGGGAAGAATTCCTTCCCAATATCCCATCTAAACTCACGCTGTGTCATCCAGAACTTCTCTGGACAACCTGTTACCACATTCCTGGTGTTGGTTCTGCTCTTGGTGATTTCTGTTATGGATTTGTCTCTGTGAGTAGGGAATGTTTCCCTGTTTTCCTGGGGTGAAGGAACATAGAATGATGGAGCCGAGGGAGTGAGGTGATCCCAGGACACCTGGGGTTGCACCTGCGAGGGAGGATTTGGGGATGGTGGGAATGAGAAGGGAAGGGATTCACTGATCAAACTCCTACTGGTGTAAAACCATGAGCTTCCTGGAGAATCCAGGGGCTGTTCCAGAGT